TGGACCCAAAACCCCCGCAAGCCAGGGTTTAGGGGTTGACGGTTTAGAGTTTGGGGGTTCCTTGTTATCATTATAGTACAATGGGCCCCAAAAATCCCCTATTCTACATAATTATTAAGGCCTCTATAATTACTATATTACCACGATTAACGGTTTCCACTCTGAAAGCATCTAAGTTCGGGTATGCGGTAATTAGGGGGGTCTACAGGTCTACAGGGGCAGAGATTGACGTTGAGGTTTTGGCGCTCAGAGTTTGAGGCTTTCTTTGAGGACTTTGGGATTAGGGTTTCTTGTTGAGGATCAGAATTTAGGCTTAAGGTGACCCCCCTTTGAATTGCTGGTTTTTGATTTGGGTTTTAAATGTATATTTTTGGACTTTTGGTTATTTGCGTTTTAGATTTATGTAAGGGTTCGCCGTTAGAGTAAACCAGAATCCCTAAACCACAGAGCCTTAAACTTAAACCCTAATCCTACTTGGATCATGGGACTTAGGAAGTACAGTTATAAGTAACCTAGTTGGAGTTATAAGTAACTACAAGTGCGGTTACCTTATTTATAGTATTAGTTACTAAGTCCCATGGTCCTCCAAGTACTCATCCAATGGCTAACGCCGTCCCGGGCCACAGTCAAAGACACACCCCAGCGCCTCCGGGCTGAGTTTAATATCGTTGTCGGAAGACCCAGATGAGCCAAATGGGAGTATCCGAAAATACCCTTAGGGTTTAGGGTTTAGCGCTTTTAGGGTTTAGGGCTTCTAGGGCTTTTAGGGTTTAGGGTTTGGGGTTCTTTACCCAGAGAACCCAATCCTTCATTAAGGAAGTGCCTTAAGTCATAAGGGGCCTGAATATTATGGTTTATAGGTATATTCCTGAATTAAGCGGTATTGGGTTCTCTAAGTAGTAGTAAACAATCCCCCGATGGCGCCTATATGCTATTACTGTTGTAGTTCCAAGAAGCACCGCTGATGTAGAGTTCCTTTAGGGCTTTCTTTTCAAAGGGCTCCTACTTATGAGTCATAAGGGGTACTGCAAGCGTCTTCTGAAACTGCCACATTCACCAAACATAGACCTTCGCAGTAGGATCCTGATTATATGCAATGCCTAATAGACCCTAAACCCTACACCTTAATCCCTAAAGAAACCCGAATCCCTAAACCCTAAAAGAAAAAACCACCAGTAACCCATTGAGCCCCCTCCGCCCTCCCTCCAAAACGAGACGCTTCGACGATTCGAGGATTGAAAGTTTAGGATTTAGGTGTTTAGGGTTTAGGGTTTAGGATTTAGGATTAGGGAAGGTGCGACGATAGTCTTGTATCCGGTGCAGGGATCCGGGTTTAACGGCCTACTTGGATCAAGAAGTTCTGTCAGGGTTGGAGGTTCTCCTTTCCGGCCCTTTAGGGTTTAGGGTTTAGGGTTTTACAGGGAGGTAGTTGACCTTGACGTTCTTCTGGTTGGCTCTTAGGACTTTAACTTTTTAAGTTTTCTATATGGACTGTAATATGTACACTAAAAGTTTAACTTTTAGGGGTGGGATTCAGAAGTCAGCCAAGCAACCTTAAACAACCCACCAAGTTTAGGATGTCGTTTTGTGGGAGCAAGGACCGTATCAAAAATTACAAGTTGCCTTCAACCTACCGACTGCCCAAGAAGCCTACCTTTTAGTGTTCCCTTGTAAACTTCTTATGGTTTTTCCCTTGGCAAGATAAGGTGGTTGCGTTAGCTGGGCACAACGGTGGTCACCATGCACTTAACACTAAACAAGAAGATGATGTTCAGTGCCCTTGGACAGGATAACCCACTCAGGGTACGTAATCAGAACAATGTTTTCAGTTTTTGTATTTTACCCAGAGAACCCAATACTCCTTAATTAATGAATATAGGAATATACCTTAAATCATACCTTTAAGGCCCCTAGAATTTAAGGTCTATTCCTTAATCAAGGTGTATTGGGTTCTCTGGCTAGTCCTTTACCAGCTGGAACCTCAGCAGGCAACCTATCGTTCCAAATGCCAAATATAATATGCAAACCCCTCAATAACCGGGGGAATGGAAAGAGGCTCCTGCATTAGATCGCTACGTTCTCTGGTCAAGCAGAATGGGTAACGTAACTCAGCCGTAAATCCTAAACTTCCAACCCTGAGCCCCACGCCCTATTTCTTGAGCCCATATTGCGCCCTAAATCCTGAGCGCGCAAAACTCTTAAGCCCTAAAACGTCAACACTGCAGAATCCTGCCCTCCAAGTACAATGATAACTGATAACCCAAACCCGAGTTTCTGAAGCCTGTCTTAACAGGTTGAAATTGCCGAATGCAAGTTTCAGGCCCGCCGACAATAGGCGACTTCGTCCGCGTGAATTTACGTCGACTGTCATACTGTCGTGCCCGGTTGCTTCAGATTCAATTTCAGAACAGGGTTGAAAGCCGAGAAAGATGTCAAAGAGGCTGCAGGCTCTGAGTTCCGAGACTTGAGTTGCTGCGCCTCATAAAAAAGATTTTCAAGCAAGGCATGCTGCCACCGAGCCTCAATTAGGGCTACAAAACGAATCCCCGAGATGAATGCTTGTAAATTTCGACAGAAGCCCCGAAAGCAGGGCTTGTTGGTTTCTGGTTTCTGACGTGATGGGGCCACCTTGTGCGACAAAGAAAAGCCGTGTTTAGATCTGTGTAAGAATGCGCTGGGCACGCCATTCCCAACCAAGCGAAACCGTCAGGGGCCTCAGCACTTAGGCTCAAGCTTGGGGGTGGGATTGTTGATTATGGTGGGCGGCCGTAGGGACTTCATTGGGAGATATTTCCAAACCATTAAAACCCGGCACCTATGTTGGCCGCACGTCAGCCCTGAACTGAATCCTGGATCTAGGATCGTCCCTCCGTGTAAGTGAAAAAACAGGTTATGTAGGTAGACTTGCACGTGTGTTCTTGTAGTGGGTTCGTCAGGGGCAGAGTTTTGTAGGACGCACACAAACTTACTTAACATGACCCCTCGATGTCCAATATGTATACATAAACACACACACACACACATATATATATATATACATATATATATATATATTCCCCCCCCGCTCCGCGAGTTATCCACCAGTTTTGGTGTAAATCCATCTTCAATCCGACAGCCATATTGAGTTCAGTATGCCTATTGAGTTCAATTGGTAACACAGGTGTATTGAACTTCAAACATCGCGAGACATCGCGATTGTTCTCATGGCTCCAAACACGTGCGCAAGCATGTACTTCAGCATTTGCTGTATTGTTGTAGTTATGCACTGTCTGCACTAAGGTTCCTCAAGTATAGGATGCCCCGTAAGGCTGTAAGATATTAGAAGTCAATACCACCGGAATATCCCAGTATTTTGCAAGAAATGTGCAATACATGGTCACGTACGGGAGAAGCCGACAAACCCTAGCGCAACGTGTTTGAGTACGGTAATATCTTTCTGGCTAGGGGAAATACAGGGCTTCTGCGCCTAGCACACATATACATAGTTATTCCTCAACCATGTAGCAACAGCCGCAGCAACGGCAACATCAAGATTGCAATAATGCTGCATAGTGGGCTACATATACACGAGCATGACCTGTTACGAGTGTGTCAGATACAAACGGATGGCAAGTATAAGGTATACAGTGTCATACAGTGTCGCCATTTACACAGACCAACGCTGGTCCGATGATCTCCATATGCAGGTGTATATATACACGCATCTAGGCACGTTCCAGATAGCATTGCACCCGCGGAGTCTGAACACCTCATAATGAAAATATTTGCAACCAAATACTTGTACAAATCTAGTTGTTCGTATTGGCGTTTTTGCCTAGTTTGCACAATGTATACCGAAATTTCCGTAAATATGCACGTACGCATGCACGAAGAGTAGCAACCGCGAGCCTGGCTGTCGAATTAAATTATTGTATCGAATTTTCGTAAGACCCTGCGCATAAGGTTTCTTGGGGTGTTAAAGTTAAGGGCTTTTGAAGGCCTAATATTTCTGTTCTAGCAGGGGCTGTAATTCAGAGTTTTGACAAGTCCAAGAAGAAAATTCGATACGTTTTTGCAGAGGTCCATGCACCTACAAAAGCTTTTTTTTGTGGGATTCTATAAGGGCTCTATCAGGGTTCTTTATAGGATTTATAAGGGTTTAAAAATGGATTTAGAAGGCTTTTGCAGAGATCTATAAGGGTTCCATAAGCGATTTCCAAAGTTTCCATAATACACCTATGTAGTGTATTCTTTGGATGTAAACGGCTGCTGAAAAGAAATTTAGGGCTGATGTATATACCGTATACGAAAAAGCACCTTCAGCGTTTAAGAGTTTCAGAATACCAGGGGCCTCAATATAGAAGCCCCAAGTGGTAGGATTTATCATACGGATCCCTTAAGAAGGTGCGCGTACCTCTCAAAAACCTCCAAAAAGTTGTATGAAGGCGTCTCATTACAAGAGGTGCGCCTAGCGTGAGGACCCTTTCGATCGCATTCTTGAAGCAATCAAAGCTACTGTCAGTTTTTACGAGAAAATCTTGGTCTTTGAGGGCGGGGGGTAGCATACGTGATACCCACCCCCAAAGACCAACGTTCCTTCATAATTTATAATCCTACATACAATAAGTCCTAGTGTATGGAGTTTGGGGATTTTGGGGCATGGCTTCAATCCCAATACCTTCCGCACCTTCGCATCAACCAAGCATTCCCTTTTAATCGGTGAGATCTTCAACCGGGATGCGTCGCAGCCCGAACAATGGGCCGATTCGGTCATTTCCAAACAAAAACGGTGGATAACCCAGGACGTAGCATATATATATATATACACATCTATGTATGTATATATATATATGCACTATATGTAGAGGTATACGTATGTGCGAGAATATACATACATATATATGTACTATTTACTTATTTGTTTATTTGCTCGTTCATTCAGTTATACGTACATGGAGGGGTCTGAAACATCAAACATGGTCCTGTATATTCCCGATCTAGTTATGTGCAAAGCACCCGAGGTTTCATCACTCAGGCCCCTACATGGGGGTTTCCGAAATTAGGGGACCCTAATATAGTACCCTAAATAGTAGGATCCTTATTATAAGGACCCCAAAATAAGGTACCCCTTGTTTCCGGAAACCCCCATATGAGAGGCTGTGCGCCGCCTGGGCAGCCCGCCCGAATGGCCCTGGTCGCTACCGCTGGACGCTCTCGGATATGGCCGCACAGGCCCAGGGTCAGCAAGCAATAGGCTTGTTGCAAGGTCTTCAGTGCAACTTCGGGCCGTTGAGAGTCTAGGATCAATGGAGGTGCTGAGCAGCTTGTACTAATTAGATCTAGTTAGGCGCCTGTGTCAAAATGGACTGACTCAGTCCTGTGAGCTTCCAGGTGCAGGTCAGGTATACGTTGGAGATTGGGCACTGGGGATTGCAATGGTTTGCACTTTGGTTATGAGGCCGGAGGGTCCGAAACCGTGTGAAGTTTGATTACCAATGAACGACGTGACGACCTACGCTGCAACACCCAGGCCTCAGGTCCAATAGGTGTAATGTAGAGGTCTGAAGCAGTACTAGTTACACCCCCTTAAGGGGCCCTTCTTCATCACTAAGTACAGGTCATTGTATCAATCTTTTTATTGAGGCCGGCCCCGAATTTCTGCCCGAATCCTCAATCCGATGAACTTCATAGGCCCAGACAATTGCCGTTACCATGTGGAGAAGAGGACACATGTTCACTTCGGCAGGTGGTTCATGGTGGTTGTGTCTGCCGAAACCCGAAGCCAAAGTCGCAGTAGCAAACCATACCCATAGATCCAATCTCCAAGGCTCGGGGCTTTTGTTTTAGGGGTTCAGGCATGAAGACCACGCTATCCCCGCTTTTTGTTGGCCTAGCTTGAGCCTCAGGGAATGTTTAGGGTTTAGGGCTTCCCCCAAACCCTAAACCCTAAACCTAAGGTGGCCGGAAGATTCCACCCAACTTCCGGCAGTTCAACGAGAAGAGGCCAGGTCCAATGGAGGAGCCGCCATGGACAGAAGTGAAGGGCACCAACCCCCTAAACACTAAGGCCTCAGGGTTTAGGGTTGGGGTTTAGGGGTAAACCCTAAGGCCTAAGGGAGAAGGGTTTAGGGCTTAGGGGTAATGGTTGAATAAGGACGCAATCGTGCATCACCTCCTGCAATCCCAAAGGATTTAGGCGATTAAGGTTTAGGTTTGAGGTTTAGGGCTTTTAGGTTTAAGGCTATTTAGGATTTATAACAGTCTTTAGGTTTACGGCTGTCAGATGTATGGTTTATTTCAATTGAAGCCAAGAACTCTAAGCTAGGCCAGCTAGGGACAAGGGTATGATGGAGGCTCCTGCAGACGTCAAAGACCACAAGACCTTACTAAAGATGTCTTGGGGAGATACTCCTAGAGGGTTTCGGCTTTCGAGCCCTGTGAGGGAGGATTCCTGCCGGGACGGAGCAACTAACTTGAAAACATGAGTCGGGGGGGGGGGGGCACGGGTTTACGGCATAGGGTTTAGAGATACCACCCTCAACAAAAAAAGGAAGCCTGACAACTTATCAAATACTATTCCTTAGGGCCTTGAGGTTCGTAACTTCAGTGTCATGAGGTTTCTTTTTATTTTTAAAGTAGAAACTCCAAGGGATTGTTTTGAGTTGGTAGGTTATGGAACCAAGGGCGTACAGGATAAAAATCATAAGGACCCTTAGTGGGGTAGGGTAGGGTTGCTTAAAGCTTCGAGGGATTTCGTGGAAACTGATGGAGTTCAAAAGGTGCTCTAGCACTTCCACAAGAAGATTTTGCAGGGTTATACCCTAAACCCTAAACCCTAAACCCTAAACCCTAAACCCTAAACAGAAGTAGGGTTCTATAGGGGATCTTTAGGGAGTTATAGGGGCACTCTCAGGGGGTTTTTCTAGGGGATCGTTGAGGAGCCTAGATGGGTCTTGCAGATTCTTCGGGTTAGGGTTTTAGGGACAGTGGTTTTTGTTTATAATAAGTGTGCTAGCAGTGGTGTCATAATTGGTGTAAACCCACTGAGCGTAGTGACAACTCCCCTACTAACCCCTGTTTCCCAGTGTCCAGCCTTGCAACCAGCGCCCTTTCAGCCCTGTCGCTCTGTGTGTGTTCAGCAGTTTTTCAGGATTTGGGAGTTTCCGAAAAAACAAGGGGTAACCTTGTTTGGGGGTCCTTATAAGAAGGATCCTATTATCTAGGGCACTATAGTAGGGTCCCCTATTTTCGGAAACCCTCATTTAGTCTAAGTCCCGCACCACCCAAAACAAATCGAAGACCCTAAGCGCTAAGCCCCGCCTCTCAAGCCTTACTTGGAGGATCAGGGACTTAGCAACTAGGGTTATAAATGAGTTAACTATACTTATAAGTAGTTATAACCCCAATTAAGGAAGTTATAACTTACTTACTCAGTCCCGTGATCCTCCAAGTAAGGCCTAGACACTGAACCCCGAAGCCCTAAGCCTTAGACCTTCGGAAGGCAAGCCATGCTGACAGCTGGCTTTGCTGTGTTGGAGGAGGACCGGCAGTACCTTTATTCTTTCTAACATCTTAATCCACCAACCCAAAAAACACTAAACCCCTTTATTCTTTCTAAGATCCCACTATGTAGAGCATATGTTTTCCCGCAGGGTTGCTGCACAGTCTAGTTGGAATCCAGAGGCATTTTGCGTTGCCCAGGTATAAGGGTCGTGGTGGCTGTTTTAATTTCTTGCTTTTCGGGTAGTGGTTTCTTTTATCGGGATCGGTTCGAAGGGGAATAGAGGCAACCTCCCTAAAAATGCTGAGCCTAAAGCCCAAGCCAAGTTCATGCTAACATAGTTTAGGGCCTAGGGTTTAGGGTTGATAGGTAAGAAACAGTGACAGACACATACCTCCTGAGGCTCCTCAACATGTCGAGGTCAAAGCTAGGCCCTAAACCCTAAACCGAGACTGATGTAGGGCCTGCATAATTACCTATACTATTTTGGGGGGGTTCCTTATTATCATTCGGAGTATAGTATACCCCGAAACCCTATTCTAGTTATCAAGGCTCCTATATTACTTTGCTCAGGACGATTGGGCCTACGAGATGCGCAAGCGCTTTGGTCTTGATTCGGCAACCGAGAGCCCTAAGGCTAATGCCAGAGTGGGGGGGTTTAGGGCTGAGGGTTTAGGGAAGTAAGGCGAAGGGATTTAATAGGGTTTAGGGATTTAAGGTGTAGGGATTTAGAGATTTAGGGTTCAGGGATTCAGATAGGGTTTAGGGTTAAGGGTTCAGAGACGCGACATGCAAGCCAACTGCTACACCGCTACACCTTGAAGCGGCAAAATAACACATGAGCCGCGACAGTAGATGTAGGACTTCTTCAGATTCTATGACTACAACATTAGTCCTAAAGCCGTAGACTTCCTAGCGAACCCTCACAGGGTCCAGCTGTGAGTGTTACAAAGAGGCTGGGAGACAAAAAGAATCTTGGGGTGAGAAAACCTTAAACCCTCAACACCCGAAATCCTAAACGCCTAAACCCCTGAACCCCTGAAGCCTAAACCCCGAAACCCCTAAACCCTGCAAGCTCTAAACTTCTGAACTCAGGGTTTGGTTTTAGGTTCATAGGGCCTAGGAATCGAAGCGGAGCACGTGAAGGTCCGACGAGTTGAAGATGTGGAATCATGGACCATCCTGAACCGTGACAGCTTCCTGGGTAGTCTGACCGATGTGATGGTGAGAAGGGCCGGTGACATGCATGACGGCATTGGGCTACAGAGAACCTTCGTGCTCCGACTGGCGACGCGGCCGGTGAGCGTGGAATGTGGTGTCGATGGTGTCGCTACAGATTCCCAAGTCGTCCAAGCTGAAGCACGCGCCCGTCTTAACGTCGGCGACTTGGCGGAGCGCTGGTGCTTGAGCTGGAGCCAACAGACATCACCAGCCGCTTGCATGCTCAAGTCATGTCCCGCTCCACGAAGGCCGCTGGTGGGGCCTTTGTTGAACTCGAGAGGACGCAGAAAGGGATCTTGGATGAGTTTAGGCGTCCCTGGAATAAGCACGTTTAGGGTTTAGGGTTTGGGGCTTCGGGGTTTACTGGAAGGAATAGGTTTGGGTGGTTGGTTGGGCCGCCTTAGACAGTCCGGGGTGGGCAAGAAAGAAGGAAAGGCCTTCTAAACACGTTGCGCGGCACGGGACAGAAACTTGTCCCCAAATACGGCCGCCCACGCGCAAACCCAAAACCCTAAACCTCGAAACCCTAAGCCGTAGAACCCTTTATTAACCCCCAAGCCCCTCAACTTCCTCAACCCCTAAACACCAAGCCCGTAAACCCCTAAGCCCTAAACCGCGATGAGCCTTAAACCCCGAAACCCTGAAACTCCGAAGCCCTTGCTAACATCTTAACTTTAAGCCTCTAAACCCAGAAAGCCCTAAACCCCAAGGCCCTTAAGCCCTAAAGCCCTCAAACCCCAAAGCTTAAGCCCATTAAAACCTAAATCCATAAAGCCCTAAAGCCCTTACGCCCTTATAGCACCATTATTGATCCCTTTAAGGAATCCCTAAACCCCTTATAGAACCATTTAAAGATCCCTTATAACTTATAATAGCCTTATAGACACCCTTTCAAGGAACCCTTATTTAAATCCCTAAAGGCCTAAAGCCCTAAACCCTAAACCCCTAAAGCCCCAAACCCTAAACCCCTAAACCCTTAAAACTCCTATAGCACCCTTATAGAACCCTTATAAATCTCCTAACGCCCTTAAGCCCTAAAGGTTCTGGCCCATGGGGGAGGCGGCCGCCATGAGACGCCTCGAGGCCCTCCAAGCAGCTTAGGCAAGGGATTTAGGGGGTTTAGGGGGTTCAGGGCTTTAGGGGTTTAGGTTTGAGGGCTTAGGGTTTAGGGCTTTAGGGGTTTAGGGTTTAGGCTTTAGGGGTTGAGAGGTTTAGGGTTTAGGGCTTTAGGGGGTATGGCTTGAGGGTTTAGGGTTTAGGGTTTTAAGGGTTAGGGTTTATGGCTTTAGGGGTTTCGGGGGTTTAGGGCTTCAGGGGTTGAGGGTTTAGGGTTTAGGGCTTTAGGGGTTTAGGGCGTATGGGTTTAGGGCTTGAGGGCTTTGGAGTTTAGGGTTATAGAGGTTATAGAGTTACAGGGTTTTAGGGGTTTAGAGTTTAGGGTTTTCGGCTTCCTTGAAGGGTTCTGCCAGGGTTCTTTCAAGCACCATTTCAGGATTCTGCAGAAAGTTCTGCATGGATTTGGGTATTTAGACGGTCATGGGATTTAGTAATTAGGTAGTGTTCTTGGTCGAATTTAAAGGGCCTGGATACTGAGAGGGTCATGGGACTCGGTAGGTAGTTCCTCAATAGAATCATAAGCACCCTGAATGAGGTGGGCTTCAGGATTTTAGAGCTGTCGGGCTCCGCTGTTCTGAGGTAAAGGCTAAAGAATGCAATGCGGCTGTCATGGATAGGTAAATTGAAGGTTTTGGGTTGAGGAGATGCAGATAGACGGAACAAAGCTTAGGAATCCCGGGCTTTACCTTACCATTTTCTAAGAGTCGAAAATGAAAACCAATTCCAAGGAGCCTCGTAAACAGCATGTTCTGTTCTAGGCCTTCGTCAAAGGAAAGCAGGACTTGATCGCATTGATTCGTTTTTTCGATTGGTATTTGCAAATTGGTTCCGACAATCACATAGTACGGGTATGGAAGTAAGGACCCACACAGTATCGGCCAGCCACCCTAAGTGTTGAACCACTTTTACTCTCGCCGCAACACCCTCTAGAAACGCAGTGCACACACCGCTGCTTGTTTGAATGCTTCAAGCGTCTGAAACCTTACTCCTGTATCTGAAACCTTGAGCATGTGAGTCCTTGATGCCTGAAGCCTCAAAGCCCAAGGGCTTAGGGGTTTAGGGTTGAGGGTTTTAGGGTTTTAGGGTTTTTTGTTTAGGGTTTTAGGGTTTTCAGGTTTTAGGGCTTCGGGTTTAGAGGTTGAGCGTAAGCATTCATCCTAAGACCCGGGAGCCCGATAGTTAAGATTCAAGCTAGCATCCCGTATTTTGGTAGTATATGGGTCGGAATAGATAGTGCTAGTATGTCCTTATATTCCTGGAAGAACAAGCATACGCTAAACTATGCCGAAGCATTGTTTTGTAGTTTGTAATTTGCTCTTTTTTTTGTTACTCAGAAGGGACCCAGGGTTCTAGAAACAGGAAGAGCTCGGCCCACGGGGGGTGATACACCTGTGTCTGCCTCTGGATTTGGGGCTTCGGGTGCTAGTAATGACTTGTGGTATGATAGGAATGTAGTCTGTAGTTGCCGTTCTAGGAACCTTATAGAAGGTCGATATCCCTTATGGAAGCCTTATGGAAGCTCCCTTTAATGTAGAGCTCCCGGGTTGTTTGTGGTCACTACTGGTGTGGAGGCAACCCTGAACCCTAAACCCTCAACCCTAAACCCTAAACGCTAAACCCTCAACCCTATGCCCTAAACCCTAAACTCTAAACCCTAAACCCTAAGCCCTAAACCCTACTTCGGGTAATACATTTGTCGCAGGAGTGGCTGAAGGATGCTGCCTGGGGCTGCTACTTCCCACCAGGACGCTGGTCTCACCCTAAGCCCTAAGCCCTAAACCCTAAAACCCTAAACCCTGAACCCTAAATCCCTAAGCCCTAAACCCTAAACCCTAAACCCTAAAGCCCTAAACCCTAAAACCCTAAATCCCTAAGCCCCAAGCCTCAGGGCTCGAGTGTAGGTTTCAAGGTTTGGGGTATGTGACAGTCTGCATGGCTAACTTTGAACAGTTGGTGGTCGGCTTTGTTCTGGTTGAGGCTTTGAGGGCTATGAGTAGTAGGAGTAGTAGGAGTGGTGGTAGTAGTAGTCGTCATCGTAGAGGCAGTGGTATTTGTGGCAGCAGCAGCAGAAGCAACAGCAGCAAGAGCAGTAGTCGTAGTAAGAGGAGGAGAAGGAGGAGGTATACTCTGCGTCAGCTTCATCGTGGTCGTCGTGTTGGTCGTGGTGTCGGAGCCTAACATGGATAGGCGCTGCATCCTTGAGTGGAAACCGTGGCAGCACGGAACAAACGTGTGATTGCATGAATGTATTGTGTGCCTTCTCAGCGCAGCCCACTCTTATTTTAAATCCTAAACCCTATAAGCCCCAAACCCTAAACCCTATACGTGCCTTGCAAACAGAAAGATTCCGAATCCTCAACCCCCTCAACTCCTGTTATGGGCTTTGTAAAGCAACGCCTCGACGACCAGAACTACGAGAACTTCTATACCTAGTTATGACGGTGCAGTTGTAGCTACCCTAGGTCTTAAGGCAAGTTCCTTAAACCCCAAACCCTACAGCCCTGGAGCCTCAAACCCTTAATCCCTACACTGTATGGGTAGTTCTCTAAATCAGCGTCCCTTTTCGGCTCCTTTTTATAAGGGTGCCGTACTATATTGGGGACCCAAATTTGGGACCCTACTTTAGAGAACTGCCCGTATACCCTAAAGCCCTACAGCCCTGCACCCCAAGCCCGAAAAGCTGAAATCCCAACGCCTGGAACTCTGAACCTTGAACCCAAAGCGTCCCTAAGACCCTGGACCCATCAATTCCTGGCCCTGCCTTCCCCCCCCTCAGAAAGCTTACCTCTTTCAAAGGTTTCGGGTTTAGGGTTTTGAGTTTTGGGTTTAGGGTTGTGGCTTTAGGGTTAGGGTTTTGGGTTTTGGGTTTTGGGTTTAGGCTTCAGGGCCCTACCAGAACCCTTGTAGGAGCCTTGTTTAATTTACATAACCTCTGTGGAAGCCATACTTACAAGACACTGTTCTCTGAAGCAAGAGGCTCCTACCTCTTAAACCCAAAATATCTACACGCTAAGCTCAGGAAATCCTAACAGACCAGATGCCATCCAGGACTTCACCCACGTGATGAGGCCGGTGGCCGCTTCCGGGCAGACAAGGCGTGAAAGGGCTTGGAATCAAACGAGTTCCACGTCTTCGAGGCTGTTCAGGTTTTCGGTTCAACAAGGACTTCTTTCGGGATTCAGAACTGTCTTGCATGGACTGCGGCTTGCTTTTAGAATTCAAGTTAAAGTGACGGGTAGACAGCTTAGTGACTATCATCCCTGGAAGCCTATTGGCTTAGGGTTCAGGGTTTAGTGTTGGCTCTAGAATTTTAAGTTACCCTGATGGCATTGATGGGTAAGCAACTTGGTGCCTCTCATCTCCGCAAGCCTCTCGAGCTTTGTGTTCCAGGCGGTTCACTGATTAGGGTTTAGGGGTTCATATATGGGTTCTGCATTTGCAACGTTTTGGATTTGGGGCTTTCAAAGACTTGATCAGGGTCTGAGAAGTCTTTCGCATGCAGTGGGCAGGTATTAGCTGTGAGAATGAACAACAGCTTAGGGCCTGCAACGTTTTGGACGACCTCCCCCCCAAATACGGGGTATGCATTAAACAGCACCAGGTTTCTTACCATGATGCTCAGGAAACTGCTTTAGACAAGTATAAACCGGATGAGTACATGGGCCTTTCGGGACTCTAGCAATGTTGGCGTGCCGTAGGGTTTTAGGGTGTGGGGGCTGAGGGAGTGTGCTAGTTGCTCCGAGAACTCGATGCCTCTTACATCCGAAATATCCCTTACCCTACGGGTCCATGTGCCTGTATAGTATTTGCTATACTTAGGCCTGACTCAAACAAGTCCCTATTTAGGGGTACTTTAGGGCCAAAGTGCATACGACATGAGCACATGAACCCTTAGGGCTATATCATTAACAGAGGGTTCAGGTCATCACTTAAAACCCGAACCTAAACCCCTAAACTCGAAACCGGTATAAATGCCGGAACCGTGCGGAGGCTTGGACGGCGATGCTGAGTCCTTACATCCGCTTTGGCGACCTTTCCGCCAGATACGTGGAGTGGCGCACATGCCAGGTGCCGCTGCTTTTGAGTCCTTCGGGTTTGCGGACGGTTTAGGGTTTTACGTAAAGGGTTTTAGGGTTTAGGGCTGTTTTTTAAAGGCTGCTGGAGTTTCAACTTCCGTGAATGCAATGCTTGCTTCTGGGTATAGTTCAAGCCATGTCATGGCTGGCACCTACATACAGCTTTGTAGACCGGCTGGCCATGGTACGCGGGTCCAGGTGGCGTTTGAGGCAAGCCCTAAATTTTGAACCCTGGAACCCAATTCGAAGGACATAAAGCGATTACGGGTTTGGATGCAGGGCTATCGAATTTAATGCCATTTCGGTCTATGCGTGTAAGGGGGTCCCCATTCGGGACAGCACAAGAGCAGCGGAGTGAATGCCCTAAACCCTAAACCCTAACCCCTAAACCCTATACCCTAAACGGCAGTTCCACGTTTCAGAAGTCGCAGCAGACATCATCTTACGAGCCTGACATGCGAATCAAGCCCTAAACCCTAAACCCTAAACATGTGAATAAAGCCCTAAACCCTAAGCCTGCATACATTTGGATTCCAGGTAAACCCTGAATGACTTCAACCGTTAAAGCCCTGCAAACCGACAGGTCCTAAACCCTAAATCCACAACCCCTAATCATAACCCTAAACCCTAAACCCTAAACCCTAAACCCAAAGCCCTAAGCCCTAAACCCTAAACCCATCTCTGGAAAGGTCCTTTCGCAGGAGTTGCGCCAGCTGTTCTTGAAGCGTGTGGTGTGGCGAGACAAGGCCCGGAATTGAAATACGGCTTAGGGTTTAGGGTTTAGGGTTTAGCGTTTAGGGTTTAGGGCTTAGGGTTTAGGGTATAGGGTTTATGTAGGGTATCGAAGTTTAGGGCTTACCTTAATGCCAAACAACCTACCTTTTCAGGTCTTTTGTAAGGAAATCAGAATAAGTAACCCTAATCCCCTAAACCCTAAACCCAGAACGGGGAACCCGAAACCAGAGAAGATTATAGGGCCCAGGTAGTGTTTGAGTCAGATCTGGGGCTCATCCCCGAAGACCCCAACCCCTGAACCCCGAACGTTCTAGCGCACTATAACTATAAGGGCCTAACCCTAAACCCTAAACGGTTCAGGGTTTAGGGTTTAGGGTTTAGGGTTTAGGACTAGGGTTCCTTTAAAGGGATGCTTTAGAGGTTTCTATAAGGGATCTATGAGAGGGTTCCATAGTAGGGGCCTTGATAATTAGAATAGGGTTTGGGGGGGGGGGGGGCCACTATACTAGAATTATTTTAAGGAACCCCCCGAAAGAGCACTGGTAAGTATTTCGGCCCCTACATTGATAGAAATCCAGACCCCAAACTTGGAGCATCAACTGCTAACCTTACGCCCGACACTTGCTTTAAGCCGTCTATATATATATATATACATACA